GAGGGAAATAGTGTTGTTGGCCTAGATCTGGAAAAAGTAATCATAAGAAATGACTCTGGAAAAGCTGCAGATAGAGCCATAAGAAATGAATGAACTGATTATTTAATGTTTAATGTTGTTTTTATAGGCAATCATTTAAGCTTTGTTAGTTCCAGGTTTAATATGTGCAATAAGTTCATTTCAATAAGTTCTGCAATAAACATTGAACCAGTCCGGCCCTCGACTAGTACCCATTTTTTTTAATTTTGGCCCACTGTGTATTTGAGTTTGACCCCCCTAACCTAAACGGTATTCATGATATTTCCTTCTACTCTCCAAGTATTTCCACTATTCCCAGCTGTCTTTAAACGCACCCTTTAGTCTCGTGGACAGTGATCCATCAGCGGAGCCCATTCTAAATAATCCTGGAGAAAAGTGCGAGCTGTCATTAATCTAAATGAGTGTCAGGGAGGAGGAGGAAGGTTTTTCTCTGCGCTGATCTGAGAACAGCCGCACGATTTACGAGTGAAACATGACGTCTGCAAAGTGCCGCCGTTACGCAAACAAAAAAAAGCCACTTTCTTATCGAACAGAAATACAGTTTCATGTCTCTGAGCTCCGTGTTGAGACTTATTCCTCCTCATATTTAACAATGAATTAACGCATCCTGTTTCAAAGAGTCCCCCCCCCAAAAATAAGTGTTTTTACGCATAAAAAACAGTTTTCTTATCGGAAATAAATCTACTTCCTCATGTCTCTGAGCTGTGTGATGTATGACTTAATCCTCATGATATTTACAAAGCATTAAAACCACGCGTCCTGCTTTACTGTTGTCATTTCTAAAGGAGTGTTTTTACGCATTAAAAGCAACTTTTATAATCAGACACAAAATCGCTGTATCGTATCAGAGCTGCTGCAGAAATGCAACCCGATGTTTAGTCTTTATTCCTCCTAATATACATATGATACCAGTGTTTTTACGCATCATAAACAACCTTTTCATCAAACAAAAATATACTTCATCATGTCCACGAGCTGCTTTTTTAAGACGTTTTCCTCCTAATATTTAGCATTTTTACGAAGAGTTTCCCTAAAGGACACTTCTTTGCCTTATTATGAATGATCTAATCACCCCAGACATTTAGACACCTGTAGGGTGACGCTTTAAACTGTGGTGACCCTTCATGGTCTGCAGCCTTTAATCAAATGTAACGCATCAAAAAACTACTTTTTTCAAATGGACCTCCATCATGTCACTGAGGCATCCACGCGTCCCTCGGAGTTCTCTAAATAATCCACTCCACAGGAATGATCACACCTGCTTTGAAGTGTGTTCTCCCCAGTATATTTATGATGCATTCATGCCAGCAAAGAGTCCTGAAGGAGTGTTTTTACGCATCGGAAAACTACTTTTTGACAGACAGAATTACTAACCTAAGCGTCCTTTCCTCAAGAGTTTTGGAGTTGTTTTACGCACGACAAACACTTGATCTAATTAGACCAACGCAAACTGAATCATACAGAATCAGATCTGCTCCACAAACACACCTTATGTAGTTATTACGACGTATTCCTCCTAATACTTCATAATTCATATTGAAGTTTTATGAAGTATCACCCACGAGTTTCCCTAAAGGACACCCATCAAAATGATCATCACACCTGCATTAACCTTCATTATTCCTTACATTTTAAAATGCCGGTTCCAGAGGGTTTCTCTACAACTAAAGGAGTATATTTACGCATCAAAACAACTTAAACACTCCGACAAAAATAGATTTTACTGAACCAGATCTGCTCCAGAAAACACAGCTCATGTGTTTTTTAGGATGTAATACTTCTAATATATCACAAGGCATCCATGAGAACTGTTCCCAAAAGCACACTTACTTAGTAAAACGATCTAATGCCCAGTTGTGCAGTAGTTATGACCCCTGCAGGCCCTCTGTGACCCCTACCTGTCCCCCTGCAGCGATAATAACCACAACAACAACAACACACACACACACTCTCTCACACACTCACACACACACACACAGTTGGACCTTACAGTGCGCGCTCCGGCGGTGCTGCCACTCTCTGTGCGCGTGCAGTCCGCTGATGCAGGCTTTCAGAGCTTTTTCCTGCAGCATGCACGAGGACGGACTCGAGGTGTAGAAATCCAACATCTGCCCGGGACTCAGCACGTCCATGCAGTCAAACATGGTGACGGTCAACTAGTCCTGCGCGTAATGGAGAAATATCAGCGGCATAAGCGCACACAACTCCATCAAAAACTGTCCCCCCTCCTCCTCCTCTTCCTCCTCTTCCTCCTCTCCCTCTTCTTCTTCTGTTTCTTCTTCTTGTTCTTCTTCTTCTTGGCACCGCGGATTTCGCTCCTCTTGTTCTGCTTCGTCCCGAACCGGAATCATGAATTATTTCGGAAGACAACGCTCCTCTAAATGCTCCATGTCCTCACGGCGTTCCACGGACACACGCGCATTCTTCCTCATGATAATATGTAATAATAATAATAATAATGATAATAATAATGATAATAATGATAATAATAACAACGATGATGTCCCGATGTGTTTCCTCACACTGAGTCTCGTGCAGCTGCGGGATCTCTCTCCTCTTTTATCAGAAATAACGCGCAGTTTAAAAAGCACACCTTCTCCTCTCCGATGACGAATGGGTTATCCGTCCCTCCGCGTGCAGCTCATTTCCAACTAGTTTTGCCACTGAAGTGAAAGATTGAATTGCCTAATATATGCGCGTGAACTTTCAGTGAACCCCTCTCTGCTGCTGACCTTCACGTGACCCAGACCCCTGCCGGCGGGGAGGGGAAGTGCAGCGGAGGGGGAAATACAGTATGATAAAAATAAATAATAAATAATACATAATAGAAGCACATTTTATTTTATTTATTAAAGCAGAAGAAGTGTAACTAGGAGCACCGTGAAGGAGGAGGACTTTTACACACTGGGACACAAACATGTAAGAACAATAGAAAATAAAAGTACAAAAATAAATAAATAAAGGCGATGAGAAAAAAATATATAATAAAATATATAATACAGAGGTCATGCAGTTTGATCATTATATCATACACTGTTTTCTTTGTTGATCAAATATCGCACACACACACACACACACACACACNACTTTCTCTCTCACGACAACAGGGCATGTTTGGTTTTCTCTTTGAGGGAAATAGTTTTGTTGAAGCTGTTGTTGGCCTGTGGAAAAATGTAATCATAAGTCTTATGATTACATTTTTCCACAGGCCAACAACAGCTTCAACAAAACTATTTCCCTCAAAGAGAAAACCAAACATGCCCTGTTGTCGTGAGAGAGAAAGTGCAGAAGGAAACATCCATTAAACTCAGTGTGCTGCTCTGTGATGCTAGTTCAGATACTTGGCATCTCATCTTGGGTGCAAGGTCATCAATGTTTGGGCTCAGGCTCTGAGCTGAGGAGACCCTCAGGATGGCGTGAAGGTGTGCGTGCAATATACCGGCGGACCAGATCTAATAGTAATTAAAAATTATCCTGCGGGCCGAAATTAAATCCACCAAGGGCCTGATTTGGCCCCCGGGCCTTGAGTTTGACACCCCTTTAGGTGATCATAGGAGGATTGTGATGATAGTTTTATAATGTGACATGTATTCTAGGGAATTGTATTTATGTAGTTGATTGAGGTCCTTAAAAACAAAAATAAGAATTATTAACAGTTTCAATGAAATGTCAATTAGATATTTCTTTAAATAAACACAAGTTAAAATGTGCAATAAATTGAATTAATGACCAATGATGATTTAGCTTTTATCCTAAAATCCTCCGAGTGTTGCAAAGATATAAACATTAAATTAAATGATTATAAAATATAACGTGTTCTCGCCAACGTCACTTGTTATAATTCCGGATTTTCGTAGTTTTTATACTTTTCTTGTGAAAGTCCTCGCGCTGTGGGTCAATTCCTGTCCTCTGCTCTGCGTGTGATGATTGGTCCTCTCTGATGACCTGCAGCCGTCACTCCTCAGCAGGCGTTTGCTCAAGGGCACGCAAGCAGAGAGGCTGAGATCACAGGAGAAGTGACGGCAGCCATCTCTAACCCGAGCCGCTTAACTGGGATGATGGAAGACTTAATCAATCAGCGTGTGATGGATTAGTGTGTCAGATAAATGCTCCTAACGAGAGTGCGAGGTTGCGTCTTTAAATGACCTTTGAGCATCTCAAACAGAAACACTTCATTAATTTTCTAAAGGGAAAGAAAACTAGAAATGCTTCACATTTAAGAAGCTAAACATCTGCCATTTTGGGGAATTTTTTTAAAGCAATAATACAATTACAATCATTTCAGGGATTAATTAGCTGCCGGCTTCTTTTAATACCGATAATAAAAAAAATACAGCAGAGTATTTAAATTATTATTTTATGTGAATGGGCGTTTAATATTCATTGATGAAGTTGTTGCGTAAACACAATCTGAAATACTGAATTGTTGTTTATTTACCTTTTGTTTGTAAACATGTGTGTAGGCGTCGTGTGCAGAGTGAATCAAATGTATGGGAACACATCTGACAAATATTTCTAGTTTTTTAAAACCTCGGAAAATGGGACTTCCTATTTGCAGATTACCGCTTTAATGTCATTTAGCCGATCAAATGATTCTATATTATCACGAGTGTCTGAGATCCCTCGTGCATCCAGGGCTTTTACCTGTGCGACAAAAAGACTCGTTCATTTGTTTTTGGATATTATCTATTTGAAAATGTTTTATAATATTGATAATTATATATTTTTAGCGTTTAAAATCATTCCTATGAGTTGTAACTTATTGCATTTCTTTCATGACGCTCTAATTGATCAATTATTCCTGTCATTCATCCACGGAAGAACAGCTGTCAATATCCGCCTGTTTTCATGTTTTAGTATTGTTCTTAGAAGTACTCAGATCATGTACTTGAGTAAAAGTAGAAGTACCCAGGTTGTGTACTTGAGTTAAAGTAGAAGTACCCAGGTTGTGTACTTGAGTTAAAGTAGAAGTACTCAGATCTTGTACTTAAGTAAAAGTAGAAGTCAGATCTTGTACTTTAGTAAAAGTAGAAGTACCCAGGTTGTGTACTTCAGTTAAAGTAGAAGTACTCAGATCTTGTACTTGAGTTAAAGTAGAAGTACTCAGATCTTGTACTTGAGTAAAAGTTATACTCATATCTTGTACTTGAGTAAAAGTGGAAGTACTCAGGTCTTGTTCTTGAGTAAAAGTAGAAGTACTCAGATCTTGTACTTGAGTAAAAGTAGAAGTACTCAGATCTTGTACTTGAGTAAAAGTAGAAGTACTCAGATCTTGTACTTGAGTAAAAGTAGAAGTACTCAGATCTTGTAGGCTACTTGGGTAAAAGTAGAAGTACTCAGATCTTGTTCTTGAGTAAAAGTAGAAGTACTCAGATCTTGTACTTGAGTAAAAGTAGAAGTACCAGAGTGTAGGAATACTCTGTTTCAGTAAAAGTCCTGCATTCAAAAAGTATTCTCATCAAAATATAGTGAAAGTAGCGACAGTAAAAGTCATTGTGCAGATTGGTCCATTTCAGAATAATATAGATGATATGTTTTATAATGATTGATCATGAAAGTGTTCTCAAAGCTGGTAAAGGTGCAGCTAGTTTGAAGGACTTTGTATACTGCAGGGTAGCTTGTGGATTTACTCCAGGTGGAACTAAAGTCTGATTCAACACTTGATTATATTTCACATCATTCATCCAGATCATGATTTGATTTGTGTGTTTTCTCACGCCAAACTACGAATATTCTACCTTAGTAAAAGAGGTGTTCTATATTACATACACACGTCCTAAAACCACGAAACGACGCCGAGTCCTTATTAGTATTTACCATTAACTTATCTTTTCTGGGAAACCCGTGCAATCTAACAGACGTCTGGAGAACCTCCTTGGCTAAGCGAAGAAATTTTTGGAGACTTACAACCCAGTAGGGCCCACGGTCCTCCTCAACCGTACTTGTGTCCCACTTGTAGGTCTTGGAGACGTCGGAAGTAAGGTCTTTACGTCCGCCGAAGCAGAAAAACGCCAGAAGTTGGAAAGGATTTAAAAGAAGGTGTGGTGCCGGGCGGGAAGGCGAAGGGGAAGTTTGACCGAAGTCCATTGACGATCTTAAGGTGAAGTTCTGTGACCATGAACGGCAACCGGTCGGGACAACTTACCTAGACCGGGAGAGGACTGTAGGTCCTGTACACCAATTTGCATGTGGGGGGGTTGTGCGCGGTGAGGCGGCAGACCGGAGTCCGGTTAGTCCCGAGCGGACGCTGGTTGGTGACGGTTCGCCCGTGGGTTCAAAGGGTAGTCCGGTTTTGTGGGGCACCCAAACGATAGGACCGAGGTTTTAAGCCACCTTAAAACCTCGAGGGGTCAAACTTTAGTCCGCGGTCTAAAGTCGAATGTGTAGAAGAGTCTGAAAACTTTTTGAGTAAGAGAAATCTGAGGTGAAGTCCTCTATCTTACTGATTGTCTAGGGGGTAAATATATGATTATTTCCGCGACCGATAGAATTTCGGTCAACCCTCGAATCGTGAACTTTACGAAACCGAGATACTTGGACTACATGAATATACTAAAGACAAAGAAAAGTCCAAAACATACGAAGAACAGCTTACCGTGAATAACGAATTCAGACGAAAACGCTTATTTCGAGTCGGATCTATTTACATTATTCATAGTCATACATCACAGAGATGAAAATTCCTCAAGGAGAGGACCGGACGTACAAAGCTCCGACAGATAGTCATACATCACAGAGATGAAATTTTCAAAGGAGAGGACGATACAAGTCCAATTAGTCATGACAATCGACCAGAGATGAAATTTCTACGAGAGGACGACTACAAAGTGCGCACCGGATATAGTCATACATCCACAGAGATGAATATTGCCTCTGGTCTCCTTTTGTCCCCCTATTCTCCCTCTACAGTCCATGTATTTTTCTTTTAGCTAACGACGCACTTTTCGATTGCCCATGTCTCCCGCTTGTCTCCGCGGGTGGTTTTGTACCATGTGGGAAGTTTGTCGGGGTCTTACCTCCGTCCCGTCCTTGCACCCACCGCACATAAAGAGGAGAGCACCGGGACGGTGGGAAGTATATAGGTGAAGGGTTATCACACGCTGTACAATCGAGAGACGTGTGTACCGGCCGAGTTCCCTGGTTGTCCTACCGTTTTCCCTGCCCCTCAGACACGCGACGAGTGTCCGGGTAAAAAGATTGTGTCTACTACGTGGCTTGGTGTTACTCCTGTTTTCGGACGACCGAGGCACTGTGTTCTTTGGGTTGCGAGTAAAGTCGAAGTTTACTTTCTTTTAGTTACTTTCCCCTCCCCGGTACCTAGAGCCCACTAACCTAAATTTGGCCCTGTTTAATAGTCGGTCTTAATCTTTCTCCTCCTTCCCCCCTCTCCTACAAAGCAGGCAAAGACATTTTCCTCCAGACCTCCAACAAGAAAAAATTTTGTTGTCCTTAAAAGACCGCAATTTTATTATGAAATAAGACCTAAACAAATCTACTAGATCTTGCTGTACTCTCACTTCATTATAAAGATATAATAAACTTATAACTATATATAATATAATAATAAACATAAGCATTCACGATAAATACACTGAAAGTATAGAAACGGCTAACCCTGAAGTGATTAACCATTGCAAAGGGTGACGTAAGTCAGAAAATTAAAACCCCCCGGTAACACCGAAGTCTCCAAGGCCCGGTGCAGTACGACTAGGAATGGGAGGGATTGGTAGGTACGAACCTGGGGGCGGACACTGGGGATCGCGACTCCGTTTAAGTTGCGTCCTGCGAAGGCTTGTGTTGTTCAACGTCGCAGCGAGCGATTTCGGTCCCCACAGTTGGAGTTAAAGTAGTGCCCGGTGTAAGCGGGTATTTCCAAACGTGAGTTTCCCGGCCAACATTGATATATTTATATTTATATATAATATTTTATTACATCAATTTAATGTAATAACGGAGACTTAACCTAATAATAGCCTATCCTATTCATTGAATCATTTAATTAATGCCCAGACTTTCGGTCCTCAAGTCGCCCGTTTCTTATTAACGTTCCCCAGAGAAGTCCACGACGTACAAGTGTTTGCTCTACGTAAACGACCCTGTACATCAAATACCCCTGGAACGGAAAAAAGACATTTTGTCATTGGCATATTATTCCACAATACATGACTAAGAAAACGTTCGAGAAACGGCCGGACCGGTGTAATTTACCTCAGCCGCCCCAGCCTAAACCGGGCCGCGGACTCAAAACTCCCCCGGGGACGGAGTTACGAAGTAATTTGTGACTACCCCTGTTTTTTGATGTTTGTACCGCCTACGCTCCGGCTCCCGGGTCAAACATCATCAAAAAAAAAAGCTTTTAGAAAGAACCCCTGTTTTATTAAGGAGGAAAAGAGATGGAACGCCTAAATATATTTCTAACAAAAATTTTTTCGAGCTCGCAGGTACTCGCGTAAGTCCTTAAGTATTTAAAGGTATAAACTTATTTCTTCGGTGAAGTCCTGCCAACATTACTTTCCTCTGGGAGCTCAGTCAAAAAATTTTTATAAATGTTTAATTATTTTTCACATAAACCGTACTATATAGAACCAAGGTTTTCTTCCTTATTAAAATTCAATGGGAGGAAGGACATTTATAATTCTTTAATTTGAGATTTTCAACGAAAACACTAGTTATTACAAAAAGTTGGGGCAGACAGGCGGAAGTAAATTGGACAAAACTACAACGAAAACGAAATAAAGGTAGGCGGGGATTACGGAAAAATTCAAAATACAGTGGTGAAAATTTTACATTTTTATTAGGGAAAAAGTACTTTGTACCTTTGATGAGGTAACCCTTCGTCTAATTTTTGTCTACTCGTAGAAAATTTTTCGATCCTCAGACGAGCGAAATTGCCTCACTCATAAACTATACAAGGTGAGGCTGTGACAGGACACTAGGTCTCTGTTGGGGGGGGGGGGAGCAAGTGTGCGGGTGAACTTAATCCGAGCGACACTATTGCCGGACGATTGAGCGAGCGCCGGGGTTAAATAGGGTTGTGTGTGGTGTGTGTGGTGTGGTGTGTGTGTGTTGTTGTGGTGTGTGTGTGTGGTGTTGTGTGTGTGTGTGTGGTGTGTGTGGTGTGTGTGTGTGTGGTGTTGTGTGCGTGCGTGTGTGTGTGTGCGTGCGTGTGTTGTGGTGTGTCGGCGTGCGTGCGTGTGTGTTGTGTGTGTGTGTGTGGTGTGTGTGTGTGGTGTGTGTGTGTGTGTGTGTGGTGGTGTGTCGTGTGTGTGTGGGTATCTGGTCTGGGTGTGTGTGTGGGGGGGGGGGGGGTGTGTGGTGTGTGTGTGTGTGTGTGTGTGTGTGTGTGTGTCTGTCTGTCTGTCTGTCTGTCTGTCTGTCTGTCTGTCTGTCGTCTGTGTGTCTGTCTGTGTGTCTGTCTCTCTGTGTGTGTGTGTGTGTGTTTGTGTTGTGTGTGTGTGTGTGGGTGTGTTGTGTGTGTGTGTGTGATCGTTGCTGTACTAGTGTATGTAGTATGTGTGGCTGTGATGTGTGTTGTGTGTGTGTGTGGATTCCACCCACAAAACAAAACACAAAACACTACAATACCTTCGGAGAATAAACCCTGAAAGAAACACAACGTAATGGTAGCGACAGTGTGTTAATACCTGGTATAATTTTATGACTCAAAGGATTAACTCCTCAAAATAACACTTTAAAAGGGGAACACACGTCGGAGCAGACAATTCGGCAAAGTAGGCTCATTTACGAGGAACTAGTAGCAATGTACTTTGTAAGACTTTGAGGCTCTCCTTCTCGAAATTTCCCTGCCGAGCCGACAGCTACTCCGATTAATTTTGGGTCCCTCCAAAGTAGCGATAGACTCGCTTATTTCTTCGAAGTGGAGGGGTGACTGGGAGACTCTCCCCGAAGTCCTAGTTTCTCTCCCCCNNACAGCGGCCACTCAGGTAACGACACTGAAACAGCCGACACTTTCAGAGACTTTTAAAAGGAAAGAGAAACTGCCCCAGAACAGTGAAAAGGCCAAAAAAATAACAGCCAAGATAGCTGAATTCATGGCGTTGGATGACCAGCCGTTATCTGTTACCTTTTTTTCTCTTAATGCATTGCATAAAGATCGGGAAAAATCGGTATCTGCAGTTTGTCAAAATCAAATGATCGGAATCGGATCGGGAGCAAAAAAAGGTGATCGGGACATCTCTAAATATAACGCTTAGACACAACGCAGACAATATATTACAAAACATATGTTTTGGCTGATGCTGATGAACATGACTTACAATAACAGCAATCAACCATAAAGTTACAAACACAAAAAAGCAAGAGTCCTGTATTTAGATTTGTTTTCAATAAGCCAAAAACCTTTTAAGTGCTACATACAAAAAAGAAAAGTTAGATTTTTATTAAATGTATTATTATTTGTTTTTTGTATTGGCCAGTCAAGACGGACTCACTTCAACACTAAGTCACACAGAGCAGATCCTACTTATAGTGTTTCATCTTCATGGTGGTCTTTGCCGTATGGAGCTTCTGCCCATTTCCCCACTTCATGTGTGAGTCTCTTCAAATCAAAGCCCACAGAGAGCAGCATGTATGGGGAGCAGGAAGACCAACAGACAGGGGTTGTTCCAGCCATCCATAACTGACACACAATATACCATCCACAGCAAAAAGATCCAGATGATCAGAGGAAGTAATTAATCCGATGGGAACTATTTCCCCGCTTCCAATCCTCATAGCTGTCTATAAGATGACTGGGAAGTAGATGATTCCATGACAAGAATTCTAAAGATAGGCTTTGTATGTATCTCCTGATGCATATGTGGAACACACATGAAGGAGACCGCACGCAGGGATTAATGAGTGTCAGATTCGAAGAGATGGGGGGAAAACGTGAGAAGAGAGTGTGTTGGCTTTCTTGTCAGAGCTGCACAGAAAAATTACAAATTGACAGTTTATTTTCTCTTGGTTTGGTGATTATTCCAATACTTTGAACCAGTCGATTCCAGGCAGCTGCTTAAGAGTCAAGATCTCTGGCAAGTAGGAAATCACAAACTCAACGCCCCTCAAAACTCTGCATCAGGGTACTGTTGACCACCTGGTGGAAAGTACAACCATCACAGCAGCACACACACACACACACACACACACACACACACACACACACACACACACACACACACACACACACACACACACACACACA